ATCCAATAAAGGATGGAGATTCTTCTTGGCTATCTAGTAGGTCTATGGTCTTGCATTTAAATCTGAAGTGTTAACCAAGTTTCTTTGAATCATTTGTAGAAAAGTGTTACACGTCCACACAGAGTGCTTGGGCTTGCAGTCGCTGCTATTGGCTCTCTCTGAGTTCAGAGTCTGCTGGTTCTTTCTTTTTCCCGTCTCCCCTCTGTTTCCCCCTTCCCCCCTGCCCATATTTTCTGCTCCACCAACAACCCAACAAACTGGCTGTCTTTGGTGGTTTGTTACACCGTAAATCACGTTGCAAAATTGGAATTTTAAAACAGGTGAAGTGCCTCAGCAGGAGCAAGGCAAACATTTTTGCTCCTAAATGTGTTGTTAATGGAAGTGTTAGGTATAGCAGTTCTAGCAGGAAGATGTTGAAAGCTTTTTGTAACCTCACTGAAGCTACCTGAAAAATTGCTATTAAAATAATTCATGTTTTAACTACTTAATTTGAATTGGAGGAAGCTGGTAATGGACGGTATGAATGTGCCTGCAGTAGTAAGAACTTTGAAAGGAGCAATACCAGGAGAGGGTGCAGGGGAGTAGGCTGTTTTGTTATTGTTATATATATATGTACAGAATCTTGTAACATGACCACCAGTTACGTTTCTTGTACAGTTACCTGTTAAATTCCACAATGTAAACGTTGCAACGTGTTTTGTAGTTGTTTTGTTATAATGGCATTTCCAGAAGTTGTCTTCCTGAGTGGTTTGTGATTTGGGAATGTTTTATATCTATTTAATGTATAATGGGTTGTTTTTTTCTTGAGGTAACAGATGAGAAGCATTTTTACTCTAGTTTTGTTCCATTAGTTACCGTTAGCATGCAGTAGCGGTGGTGTATATCTGTTCTTCTGATAGCTGTAGTGACACAAAAGAAGACCTGGTGAAATGCTTCTGTTTGTATAGGAGTTGTACATGTTTTTATTAGTATTCGTAACATAGCTGTTAAAACTCCGAGCCTCTTTTACATGACTGTTCAGACCACTTGCTGCTGTGTTGAGCTGATTTGTTGCTGACAGTTAATGGAATGCTAATCTTTATGGTCTAAGTAAATATGGGAAACACCAAGGCTGGATTCCTGAGCTGCTGAAACATGTGAAATTGGGACAGAAAAACTATTTGTCGGAGTATCTGTTAACACTTGGTGAGGACTATGTTCTGGCTTGTCCTTTTATAATATACTTGTGGAATTCTTTTGGAATATACTTGTGGAAGTGGAGACATGTTCTGTTAGAAAAAAATGTCTGTAGTGCACTGCTGGAGTGTACTGGACTTGGAGTGCTTAGCAGGCTACCAAAATCTGTGATTCAAATATAGCCCTATTTGTATGTTAATATTTAAGTTTGCGTATGTGTCATTTTATATGTTTAGAATGTTATTCTGTATGTCTTCCACTAGTAAATAATAATAATAGCAGTTAAACTTAGGGATTTTTACTTCTCCTTTGCAGTGCACTATTTTAGTGCCATCTAACTCACCAGGTATAAACTGAGATGAATTTGTTTTAAGATGAGAATGTGAAATGAGTAGATACACTGTTTTCTTTTCCTTTTTTTTTTTTCCCCCAAGACGCATCGTGTGGTGGTCATGAATAGGAAGTTTTCGGACAGGTGAAATGAACAGGCCATACATTTTGTTGGAATTTCTTTTAAGAAACAACGCTGTTAGTTAAATCGTGTTTTTCAAAATTAGTGGAGATTTTTTTTTACCTGTACGCTGTAAAACAGAAGTCTTGTGTAACAGCTGAGGTTTGAAAGGAACATAGTCTAATTAATTTTACCTGGAAAGGTCATTGCACGGTAGGAGATTGTTGCCTGGATGTTCTTGATGCTATCTGTTTGGAAATTGTTCAATGTGTATTCCAACATGAAGCTTTGCGTTTTGTCTTGCTTGCATTGCAGTCTTCCATGGTTGAGACATGCATGTAATCTTCTAATCTTTACTGTCTGGTGAGGCTTATGCTCATGCACCACGTATGAGAGGATCTAGCATAGAGCATCTCTGCCCCTATATTGCTGCTGCTCACTTCTTAATACAGAAATATGGTACTGGGAAAACTCTTCCCTGCTCCAGGGACAGGAAGATGGAATTGAGTATAGGGCACCACATGTTAGAATTTTCTTCCATCAGCACTAACAGTACTTCTGGGGCAGGAAGACAGCTCCATCTTCTTGCTCTGCATTTATTATTTCTCCTTGGTGTACAACTTGATAACCATGTTTTTATCCAAGCACAGTCTTACTGCGTTTTTGATGTCAGATAACTGTAGATGTTTTTAGGAGACTTGTGTTTAGTTATTCACTGTAGCTGCAGACACTTACTCTCATATTTCTCTTTACATGTCCCTCTTCTTGGACGACCCCTACTTCACACACCACAAGAAAGAAGGGGATTGTTCGCTTTTTGGTGGCAGCCAAAGCATTTGGAGGAAAGGAATTTTTATTCCAATTTTTAAAAGCATTTGTCCTAAAAAATAAATAATTTATTAATTACATCCTGACTCAAACTTATGCTAATGACAGTAGTTTACTGCATCTGCTGTCTGGGAGATAAACTGGTAGCCATCAGCAGTCAGAATGCCAATTTATATGCAATTCAGTTGGAGTCCATGCAGTATTTTACAAGCCTGAAAAGTGTCAGTGTGTTTTCTTGATCCTGTGTCTTTGGTCTTATTTTTATAAACTGTCTGAAAACTCTGGGCCCAGTGACAACAGCATGGAGTGACAATCTAGTAATTCATCCACCTTCAGACGGGTGAACAATGTAATAAGCCGTGCAGAAAATAATCTGTTAACTCCAAGCAGACTATGTGACTGTTCAAAGTCTGTTTTCCACAAGTGAAACTCCACTTGACAAGTCTGCTTGCCACCAGTAACACCAACACTCTCCAGACTCTTGAGCTAGGAAGGTAGAAAAACACTAAGTTTTAGATAGGTTTGTTAGTGAATTAAGCTTGTCACGTTATATCTTGGTGTCATTTGTAGACAAATACGTTGTGTTTTCCCTTCAATCTTAATTTGTATGGTTTCTACTTGCTTTGAGAAGTAATGATTTCAGGTTAGAGAGACTCGGGTAGTGTCAGAGAGCCTTATGAAATAACTAGTAACTAATTGCACACAAACTTCACAACTTCTGCTCTCACGAAGTGCACTACAGTTATAGGTAGGGCAAAGAGAGCTTAAAAAAACTCTTTTGATGACCTCCTGCTTATCTGCTTCAAGTGGTTGCTTTTCCTTCTTTATGAGAAAACCTTAGGTTTTAAAAAGCTGTCAAGCCACTTCTTTACAATTTATAGAATTTGGGTGGTGGGAGGGGAAGCTGATCCAAGAGACTGTTAAACTTAATTTTCAGGCTTTACTAATTTTTGAGGATCTCTTTTGTTTTTAATGTCATTTCAGAATTTTGTATGAATTGCCAGTATATGTTGGCAATAACTTGCCCCTTTCTGAAGCTTGCTGGAAATCGGATTTGGAAAGCTTGCTTTCCTGACCCTTTCATAAACAGGATTGATTTCTCTCAATACCTAATTTCTCTCGTGGAAGCAAAATTAATTAGGTGTTTGAAATTTCATTTTGTTCTTGTTGCTTGAAGGACAAAATGGCTGCATTTTCACACTACAACGGAAAGTAATTTTTCATTAGTGGAATTGAAGGAGAGCAGATACATAACAACTATGTTTAAGAAATTAATCTTTTTAATCCCCAGTTGTCACTCCAAGATCTGTTGTTCAGGCCTCAGCTTCAGTTCTGGATCTGAAACAGCTGTATTGTTTACCCATGCTTAACCTATTGCTCTCTCACTTAGGACGGATTCTTTCTGGGTAACTTTTGCTCTGTTTACCACCCTCTTTCACAGGAAGCTGAATGGTTGATCACTGTTGGGAACTTACTATTGCTTCACTTCGTTCATAGAACAGCCAAAGTCATTTTGACAGATATTTAAAGATAAACTCAGTTCTGCTGAGCCATCATTGTTGAATGGCACTTACATAATGATCTGACTTATAAACAACCTAAAGTATTTGATCAGATGAACTTCTAAACAAGTAACTGCTTACTAATTTTCTAAGTAGTAATAATGGATTATAATTAATGGAATAAAGCTATGCACAACTTACAGGAAGGACAGTTACCTAGTTAAAACAACAGAAGACTGAGCACTGGGTCTCTGTTTCTGTGTACAAGTTATTTGGTGAAGATTTTATTTTCACATGTCTGGTTAAAAGGGTACAATATGTGTTCACTAGGACATTAGTGCTTAGAAGCACTTTTGACAGAAGGCAGTACTAATGTACATCTCTGTAAATATTAATATTTCATTGTGAAAATAAAGCAATGCTTTGTTGGAAGTAAATAAGCAAACATCAAGATGGCACACTCATTCTGCTTTCACACTGAAGACTCAGTTTTTGAAAGAATAGGTTTCTATTTAAGAATAGTCCTAATGGAGGCTTTATACTTTCCATTAGCATTTTCATCTGTTTGCCATTGCCATTTGATCAAGAAGCTTTTGGCAAAACAACAACTGATGACAGGGGTGGTGAGTTAAATATCGTAAATATTGGAGAAGACTTCTGTTGGTTTATTTTTTGTATAAAAGATACATTCTGCACTACCCTTCCTAAGTTAGGAAAAAATGCATTTGACAGTCTTTACTTTTGTAAGTTATATTGTCTATTGCATCAGTAGTTTGAAAATATCTTGAAATTATTCCCCTTGCTCTAAACATACATGTAAAAGTGTAGACTGTGTGCAATGTGTATTATTTTATTTCTCATGCTTTGCCCAGAGGTGTGTAAATGTCCAAATACATTTTGTAGATGAGAAGGGTTTATTTTTATGTGCCTTTATCCAGTGTGTTTTTTCTTTTTGTTGTTTGTTTGGATGTTTTTCAGGTTAAAAAGTTGTATCCTCTCAGGGAAGCAGTAGCCTATTGTGGGTTTCTTGCAGCAGCAACTCCAACCAGTAATGAGCAGATGACACCAGTTAAACAGTGTCTGGCAGACAACATCATCACAGTGGCAACACTGCACAAGCAACATCAAAGAGCAGGGGACTTTTGTGTTCCTGAGACAGTGGGAAACATGCCCAGTATCTCAGCTGCCAAAGTGGATGCAGTTTCTACATAGATCTCTGTAGATCTTGTAACCATGTCTGTTAGCGCAACGGAGAGTGATCCTCCTAGATTCTTCGTGGGTGGAGAGGATGGAGAAGAATTATTGGATTCAGCCAGATCTACAGATTATGAACACTTCTATGACCATGGGGAAGAAGAAGAGGAAGAGTATGACTCTGTATGTACTATAGGGGCATGTGTGTACTATTTTGTATGTTCTCTAGCATTATTTTACTTTGAAATGGCATTAAATCACAAAGATCTAATACTGAAATGGTGTTCTGAATTGGGAAATTGTTCTTATTCAGGTAATGATCTGTGAGTTATATTTGGAAATGCAACACGCTTGAAAAGTAAGTATACCTTGAACTTTGAAGTAGATGTGCTTGACCTTCATACAGAATTTCGGGGCAGCTGAGGTTCATGTGCTAGTTTTGCAGACTTGATTTGGATTCTGGGAATGAACTTGGTGGCCTAAGCCTTCAATTTATTTATTTGGATAATTAGTAGCAAAAAATTATCAAGAGTTTTTCTTTTGTATGTGTTGTCAACTGCTGCAGCGTTAACCTTTGATTTTTGAGTTTGAACAGACTTAACTCTTCTTTTTTCATCTTACTGTTGTTTTCGTTAAGATCTGACATGTTTTCATTTTTCTTCCTTGTCTTGGTGTACAGAAAGTGCATGCTAAATCAATCTTAAGTTACACCTTAGTTTATTATCCTTGCAGAGTGTTCTGAATTGTATTTTAACACTCTGCTTACCAATTTTTAGTTTAAGACAAACTTTTAATTTTATTATGCATCAGTTGTCAGACGTCATTTTTTTAGCTGTATTTTAATGTTTTTTTAGTTTGTAACATTTCGCTTTAGGGAATAGTCAGATTAAATTTTCACTGATTACAAGCATGTCTAAAAAATTTAAATGTGAGGAACTGTTAATAAAACACTTCACCATGATTAAAAGTAACTTGTAAATGCAGAGAAGTAATGCAAAATTAGCAGCTCAGACAGCTCAATTAATTCAGTCAGTATATTTTAGTAAGAGAAGGTAATTGGCTCTGTTTTAAAAGAACAGCAAGTTGAAATAATGGATTGCTCTGGGTTTCTCTCTTTTTGTTTCTTTTTAAACAGGGGTAGATTGGCTGTTGCACTTAAGAATACCAGTTGGGTTAAGAAATTTTTAAAAGCTTATAACATGAAAGAAAATACAGAGTGTACAGCACAAAATAGCTCAGAAATTTAGTATAGTATTTTCTGGGTTACTAGTTTTCCTTTTCATAACTCATTTGTAATATTAGGTAATAAGATGAGAAGCCTTGTGACTACTAAGTAGATGTAGAAAAATGAAATCGTTTAAAAATTGATTGCTACTTAATATCAGAGTAAGCCATAGGTATGATTTCATTCAGATTTCACATTTCTGACTTAGATTTTGATCTAAGTATTTGTTCCTGATACGATACTCACAAGAAGTAGTGTAGAGCTATTGAACAGTTTCATTTTTTGAGGCATTTTTCATAAGGATGCAGTGTGTCATGCTGTCGTGCTGCATTTTGTTACCTGCTAGCAATTTACCTGATTAAAAACTAAATTAAAGGTAATACATTAATTTTAACAGAAAATGTCTGTTCTGGTATTGTGCTGCTAAAACCCTGTTGTGTTCTGAGAAAACTTAATAATTGCTTTTTCTGCACCTCTTCAGCCACCAGAAAGACAAATCGCAGTTGGGATTTGTTCAATGGCTAAGAAATCTAAGTCCAAACCAATGAAAGAAATACTTGAACGCCTCTCCATGTTTAAGTACATAACTGTGGTAATATTTGAAGAGGACGTTATTTTGAATGAGCCAGTAGAAAACTGGCCTTTATGTGACTGTCTCATCTCTTTTCATTCTAAAGGTAAATCTTCTAATATCTTCTAAGAAATGTTTTTGACATTTAAATACTTTAACCAGTGTGAGGGTCTTCTTATTTTTCTTGTCTTGTAATTTTACTGGATTTCCCAAGGAAGGACTTCATCTTGTTTAATATAATACAACTGACTTATAAAATACAAGCTTTTTAAATTATAGTTTTCATTGCTTGAGAAGGATCTGTCTGAGATGGTATTTAAAATAGTCATTCCATTGGTAAATATTTGTGGAGCCAGTAGAAATGGTAATCTAATACTTACTTAGTCCAATAACTGTGAAGGCATGCTACTTTCTCAGTGGGACTGCTAGGTCTCTGGCCACTTGTTCGTGTGTCTCTGCTAATATCTCAGGTTTTGTGGGGCTGGGCAGTGAACCAAAGAGGAGTAGACTGAAGTTAAAAATCATATTTTCAGGCAGAGGCAATAAAAGCCTTAGTTCTGACCCTATGGAAGGGCCATGTAGACGTACAAGGTACACATGTAGAGTGAGGGAGGAGGGGATTGGAGACAGGACCACTACTTTTGGCAGCCTATGCTGAAATTAGGCTGTAGTTTCATGATCATCTTAAGCTGATGGTATGTGCGTCTATAGCTGGGGGAGCATCCTCCCAATTCAGCTGTATGTCTGGTTGTACTCTAAAGCTTGAATATGAAGCTTCCAAACTATTTTCTGGTATTGTGTCTTGTACTTTTACTTTATTTGCATTAATAAATATTTTAGGATTTCCACTGGACAAAGCAGTTGCCTATGCAAAACTCAGGAATCCATTCATAATCAATGACTTGAATATGCAGTATCACATACAAGACAGGTAAGTAACACTAATTACCTGTAAACAGCAAACTACTTTTAAGTTAGAGACTGCGAATATGCTGGTATTACATAGCAACAGTTCCAGTGTATTGTATAGTAGTCTAAATAAAATTACAGTGAATGTTATGCATAGTTTTCTGGGATATGTCTTTAGAAGTGTTTTTTCTTTTGCTGCTTTTGTATTGATACTTCTGAAGATTTACCAGGTAGAAGTTGGGTGATACATTTGTCTACAGCTTAGCAAATAAAAAAGTTTTAAACTTTGAAAATATGTGTAGCATAGCTATGTGTAGCAACTGTAAAACCTCCTATAACTGTAGAATTCTTCGGACTTTACTAAAGGTCTTTTTTTGTCTTATGTGGAATCTTAACAGAAGTTGCTGGTATTTAAATATCTTGTGGTTATTGAATTTCCTTTTCGGGCTGCAATCATGCATAGCAAATATTAACAAAATAGTAGTGAGCAAAATACATAAACACTGGAGCTTCCTGAACAGTGAGCAGAATTGTTAGTTTGGATGCCTTCAGTTGCTGTCCTGTATAAACTTTTTCAACCCTTCATGTTAATTATCACCTTTAACAAGAGAATTGTTCTATGCTGGTGTACTGCTGGAGTGGAGAGGACAGGACTGGCATAGCAAATTACATTTTTATCGATATTGATGAACTCACTGCAAAGGTACAGCTGTATCAGTCACCTTTAAAGCATAACACTAATAAGTAGAGTATTATATATGTAATTTCATCCTGTGTGGTTTAAAAAAAAATTGTATGTATTTTTCTCCTCCCTTATTCATGGACTGTAAAATACAAATATTTTCAGGATTTGCTGTCTTACTGTGCAACTTTTGTTCTTTGCTTCTAGGAGAGAAGTGTATGGTATTCTTAAAGCTGAAGGCATTTTACTTCCTCGCTATGCAGTTCTGAACCGTGATCCAAACAATCCCCAAGGTAAAAACTGATGACTAAAATAACAACCACTGGCATCTTTTTGTTTCCACTGGAGAAGAGCACATACATAGCAGGAAGCTAAATTTCACTTGCTAGGCAATCAGTTAATTGCTGCAGAGGTTGATTTCTGCTCCAGTATTTAAAGTATTATTGTGGATTAACCCCTACTGGATGTGGGGGCAGTATGTGAAACAGAAAAGGTGTTGAGGCTGTGTAAAGTGCTGTTCAGCAATAACTAGAATATCAGGACTGTTTTTGTCACAAATTCCAAACATAGCACCATACCAGCTGCTGTGAAGAAAATTA